TATGCATAATATCAAGCTAGTAGTGAATGTGAGTTTATGTGTAATAGATCTTTGGGAGTTAGATATATGCATAATTTATGAACTCATGTGATCATCAAATAGATTATCCAAATATCTGGGAAATTGCTGACATTTTTTCATATTCTTTATATACAAATGTATTGTGAAATGTTTATTTTTTAATTTTAATATTTTGTTATAAATACACTGCACAATATGACAACCCTTCTTTGAAAAAAACGTTGATAAATATTGATGATGATATTCATAACAATACAATAAATAGCCAAACTAAAAATAGCTCATGTGAAAAACGTTATGTAACTTTTTTTCTACACAATTATATGCTTCTATGATAAATATATAACTCACCGACGATGCGATATTCCAAAGTAAAGTTATATAAAGTATCATTGTCCGCTGTGGGTATTCTGTTACTTGTTAATACAATTAACACACTCTGAGTAGAAGATATGATTAATGGTGCCGTGACGTCACAATATGTACCAATATATTTATCCATATCACTAATTTGTCCTTCATATATATCTACTTTATCAATGCATGATGCATCTTGGTTCCGGGGTGGAAAATTGGATTCAATGAACTTCACTTGAATATACTTAGATTTATGTCCTGTAATAGTCCATGCACAGCGTGCATATGGAAGGTAATTGCCGCTGACTATTCTACCCATTGCTTCTTTTAGAATTGTTTGTCCTATGCATTCTGAGTTATCGGATTCTGTCTGATACTCTGTTGGAACTTATAATGATTAATGTAATAATGATATTTGGTTACTGCCTACACAACAAAACAATACAACGCGACACGACACAACACGACACATCTCACATCGCAATACAATGTAACATAACTCAACGCAACGCAGCACAACATAATGCAATGCAACACAACGCAATGCAACACAGTTAATAACGAAAGTTAATAAACAATGCATACGCCAATAACAGTAAATCCAAAATGTCATATATGTATCAATGTTGTGTTGTACATAATGCTTGGCTTAAAATAATGATAAGTTATATTACCTATTTGTTGATAGATTGCTTGGAAACCATAATTGTGGTATTGCATGTAATTAAGATCAATATCTCCAGATTGAAAGACTAGATAAAACTGGTGAGAGGATGACGTAATTATGAGATCTCTGTAGAGATTACCACAATACACGCCATACAATGGAATGTTGTGTGAACCACCGTCATAAAGTCGAAGAACATCAATACACTGATCCAATGACGTACGAAGATGAAGGACCCAGAGAATAATTCTAAGAACAGGATGAAACGTTACATTTACGTTATTCACAATTAATTATGCTGGTCATTTGTTTAGTATGTTATATTTGGGCGGCTACATCAAATAAATCCTGTTATTTGAAGTTAATGGCATGATGAGTTTGACGTATGGCATCATGTTCAACAGGAGTATTAGTGGTATTCTATATTCTTAGACTTGTGTCCATAGTAAATAATAAAAGAAAATTCTGTCATTATATACCTCTCGGGAATATTGTTGTAAACAGTGAAAGTACCATACACTAAAAGTAGTCAATTTAATTAAATTCCCAAAGTGAAATATCGCAATTGTACAAGTATACATAAATACTTTTCCGTTGTTATATAAGAGAAAATGTACAGTCGAGAAAATACGCTAAATCATACAAGCTAGGCATATTATTTGTGTAGATATTTAAGAAATATCAAAACTTATTTGCCAGAATCAATCTAATCTGAAAAATGATTTTGGAGAGTAGATGGCCAGACTCGTCCCTATCCAATATCATGACGCTGAGATATTGCAAGGAAGTTGTTAATATCCCGATTTATTGACAATGCAATTTGCATTACATAAAGCACGCATGTTGTTATCATTAGTTGAACATTTAGAGAACTGGTTTTAGTCCTAATTGAAAATTCAAGCCACCATATTATTGTCTATATAGATTTCACATTGTATTACTTCATCAAAGCAAACGCCAACAATAGTACCATCTGCGAGCTTTATTTGGTTGCAGGAGATATGGGATCTCAACGGTTAAATACATGAAGATCTTGAGTAGTTACATGGTTTCATCTACCCGAGGAATTTGATTCCGACTTTAGTGAGCCCATCACTGAGCGCCAATGACTGGATGTCTACATGTTCTCTACCACTGGGACAAAGCCTCACCAGGCATTTATTGGCGTTTCAATTATATCATCAACTATGGTTCAAGTCACCTTAGGCTCTGACGAATTGTAGCTGTGGGGCAGTGTGGGCATGGTATTGTTTCAGTCTGGCGAGCATTCTTTACCACAACTGTCCTCACCATGTTATATTGTTCCACTCACTTTGGATTTTTCACTGGTGGTCTTTATTTCTAAAAATCAAGTTTTACTCTCAAAGGAAGGTAGATTATCAGTGACCTAAATGCCGCTATGTTAGTTAGTATGGATCAAGCGACATGAAAAGAATTATGAGTACTGAGCTAACATGGTTTGTGAATACCTTACAAGTACATTTTGCAGT